CGAATACATTCCAGCGTCGCACCGTAGAGGCGCGGTTCGGCGGTCAGGCTGCTCCTACTTCCGAACACGTCAACTCGGCTTGACCGACATATTGCGCATATGGCTCCTGATCGTGTTTACCGTGCTTGATAGGGCACCATCGTGGGCGCATTCGTCAAGAAGGCGAAGGTGACATGGAATCGGTATATGTGTGCGACGCTCAACGTCCGTGATAGGCAAGAGAGGGAGTACCAAAGCCATGCTGATGACGGGATCTTGCATTTTGACAGCTCGGTTACCACTGGCGAAGATGGTGAGATGAGCTCATCGCGATTCACATGTGGTATTTAGACCTGCTTCACATCCTCTTACTACAGGCATCAGTAAACGCAAGCACATCCGACACAAACATCAAAAATATCTTCAAGTCCTTTTACACTTATCTTTCAAGCCTTTGTCACTCTACACATCAAACCGCCTTCAAAACAACAACAACTCTATACATTGTCTTCTTCCAAGCGAAACTCACCAAAAGCCAAGATGTATCTTGCCACCTTCCTCACAAGCTTGCTCACTAGCTTGCCTATAACACTTTCAGCTCCTTTAGCGACCACTCCAGAACTCTACGGCGAGCCATACAACTGCGGTTACGTTCTTACCATTCGGAACAGCAGCGCGTATGCCGGTATCTCCGCATACCCTCCAGCCCAAGCCGAGTGTACAGCGATCTACTACAACGACACAATTCCAGGATACCAAGACGCGTATGCCTATAGCTTGTTTGGGGGCTGTGAATGCTCATTTCACTTGTAAGTACAACACACTTTGAGAGATACGTATCGTTCGACACGCTGCGTACGTGAGACCATAATACTATCTGGCAACTACATACTGTTTGGACTCGTGTATCTGCAGGACGATAACAGTGGCTGACAACTACCTCGTAGGAGCGAGGAAGACTGCAAAGGAGCTACCGATCCACCGATGTATGAGGGACCGACTGGAGAGCCTGGTGAAGAACCCTGCTTCGAGGATCCCAACCCCAAATGGTACAAGTGTGCGACCTTGGGTTAATTGCATCATAGCAGACTCGGACATGGTCAGAGTCAATGGCCCTCGTCACATCTTTGGGGATCGTATCAGCATGTCAGTGCTGACATTAGTGGTGGCTTCTTAGCGATAATGTATGTTTACGGCGTTGGTAGGCCAAATCATGTTTCACCCAGCAAAACAAAACATCTCTTTCGTCATTGTCTCTGGCTCCATGTATTCGCGTGACTGATACATCAGCCTGGATCGCTTACAATCAACTCGTAATGCGGCAGCCTGGCACCTTCATCGTGTTGTCATCCGCACGCGCAACAAGAGAACAGACTGCGAACCCATTCACGCTCCATTCAGGCGCCGGCGAACATCCATCGTCGCGGCACGGTATTCTCAAAGACCCCGATACGAGTGGGGTCTGAAGTGGTTGGAGCTGACGTTCGAAGAGGTGAGTCGGCCCCCAGATACGCCACACATGTGCATTAATTGATGCACTGGCAATATACACGCATCTACGCGAGCGTTGATCAACCCTTCACAAGAGAGAATCTGTAGTTCCCCGCACATTTTGGACCCACGGCGTGGGAGGCGCGGCCCGGGCCTTCACCGGGTACGTTCGCGCATTCCTCGAGTGATTCACACGCCGGCTTGGCGCATTCCCGGATGTTGATATAAGAAGTCGCGGATCGACTCTTGCTCCTGCTGACACAACTCACTACTTCCTGACAACCAACACCTGACAGCCTCGACAACATGTATCACTTTTACTCTTTCCTCAGCCTATTCGGCTTCCTCTCACTCACTCTTGCCGCCCCTTGGTCTCCACAAGCACCAAGCGTCTTCGCCGCACGTGACGAATGTCACGCTCAAGGAGATATCTGCGCCGAGACCTGGATTGGTAACAAAGTACACCAGCGTCTTGAATGGGGTGGCTGTATTCCCGTCAAAGACTACAAGGAGATTACCGGATTCAAGGCCTTCAACTGCGACTGTTACTTGTACTAGTGAGTTATTCAGCGATGTGAGCAAAGAATGGGTACTTACTGATTCCTCTTTAGCGCTGTCGACTCGGGTACATGCAACAACGGCGGAGACGAACACATCGACCAGTTCTCGCGCTGCAGCGGACTTCTGACGAAGGAAGAGCGGCGTTGGAAGAAAGCGCCCAACTACTACAGCTGCTCGCCTGGACCCCTCACTCAAGGCTGAAGGGCTGAAAGCTAGCGCGCGCATGCTATATGTGTTGGGGTATGTAGCGCTGGGAACTTCTCAAGCTTGCCGAATACATACAGTCCATGCAGCGAACTAGCTACTTGGAGGACGCGTTGTAGCTTCCAGAGCACGCTAAGATGCTTTCTTTGTTTTTTTTTGTTTGCTTTATCTCGCGTTCCACGGTAACGGGGTCGTGTTGGGAAGGCGCTATCACGGTCGAGAACTTTGTGCAACGCTGTAGTAGTAGTACAACGGCAATCGTCTTCCTGACGCATCTGGTTATAAACCTCTTTACATTCACCACCTGCATACTTCTTCTGCAGTGAAGACCCAAGAACCACACGTCTACCATGCAGTTCCCCACGATGTTCTCCACCCTATTCATCTTCGCTTCCGTGCTCACCTCTTCCATCGCTATCGCTGCTGAAGCCCTTCCGTAAGTCCCAAACCTCAGCTCAGCTCAACCTCAACCTTGCAGACTAAACTTCCCTCAGCCCCGTCGCCCACGTTACCGACTGTAACGGCAAAACCTACATGCTCGACACCACCGGCCAAAACAACGTCCGCGTCATCACTCAGGACAGAGCAGACGGCTACTACATCCAGCCTGTCAGCTACCACGTAGACTCAGGCAGCACGTGCAATTTCTACAGCGAATCAACCCGCGGCGTTGGGTATCCCATCGGCAAATACTATGGCCCCGTAGACGGAGACTTTGTGGGTGACTGGGCTGCGTTTTACGAGTGCTGGGATGTGGAGTCGGAAATTGAGTCTCTGACTAGGCGGAGAGGGCAGAGCTTCAGAGCCTAAGCTGATCAAATTCGATGATTAATGGTATGTGGATCTTCCAACGGTACGTGTGGTCCAGGAACGGGCTTGATGCTGCAGCTTGCTGACCACACCTGCTGTAGTGGACGTAGCCTTAGCGATTTGACCCCGGGCTTTGTGGTGGATGATTGCGTGAGATCCGAAGTGGATGTTTGATTTCGACATTGGGTCTATGAGTATCTATCTCTTTGGCCAGAATATGTCTACCTAGGTAGTACCCGTGGACTGCTTGAGGTTTATTAAGATGGAGAGCGGAATCGTGGGTCCGGACCGGGAGGAGGCGACATGAGAGTTAAAATTCTTGTACATAATTGAGCCATGTGTTCGAGGTACGCGCTACTGATGATATTGTATATCTTGATGATTTCTGTTCAGTGAAATCGGGAGTCCGAGGTATTCGTATTGGCGTGATCTTATCGATAAACTTTGCGACCCGCTTTTCTTTTCGTCGCTCGGTCGCGAACTTTACAACTTCCTACATGCGCCCCAAGTAACCCTTTCGATTCACACCACACACCGCCAACATGATCCGCAAACAAGCCCGAGAACGTCGCGACTACCTTTACCGCCGCGCGCTTACCCTCCGCGACGCCGAACTCGCTTCGAAAAGAGCAGCGCTGAAAGCTTCGCTCGCCAGCGGCAAGCCATTATCCAAGGATGTCGCCAACGACCAGAACCTACGACAGGATTTCAAGTACGATGAGAGCAGAGCGGATAGAACCGCAGAGGAGGAGCTAGGACTCGACGACGAATATGCGCAGCTGTCGGGTGTGGTAGATCCCAGGATATTGGTCACAACTTCGAGAGGTACATAAACCTAACACAGTTGGGAAGACAGAGCGATATGCTGATGCTGGTATAGATCCATCAAGTAGATTGGGGACATTCGCCAAGGAAATCAGATTACTGCTACCCACGTCGATACGATTGAACCGCGGAAACATGGTCCTGCCAAACCTCGTCGAGAGCGCAAAGTCAGGCGGCCTAAGCGACATTGTCCTTCTTCACGAGCACAGAGGAACACCCACCGCCTTGACAGTATCGCATTTCCCCCATGGCCCAACCGCTAGCTTCTCATTACAGTAAGCCATATCCTACCCCTTCGTTCCACACCTACTCACCCAATCCAGCAACGTCGTCCTCCGCGCCGACATCCCCAACGCCTCTCGCGGCACAGTCTCCGAATCCTACCCGCACCTAATCTTCGAAGGCTTCTCTACCAAACTAGGAGAACGCTGCGTCCAAATCCTAAAACACCTCTTCCCGCCCCGCGAAGCCACCGCCAAAGTTGGCAACCGCGTCGTCACGTTCAAGAATATCGAGGACACGATTGAGGTCCGGCACCATGTTTTTGTCAAAACGGGGTACCAGTCTGTGGAGCTGGCGGAGGTGGGGCCCAGGATGAGCATGAGGTTGTTTGAGATCAGGGCGGGGACGCTGGATAATAAGGAGGGGGATGTTGAGTGGCATCTCAACCAGTACACTAGGACGGGAAGGAAGAAGGAGTATTTGTAGAGGGCATCGGAGAGAGTCAGAGCGCGTGTTTTGTGTGGAAAAAAGAAGAGGAGAACGCATATATGGCGCAAAGGATTATTTTCAGTATGAGATACCACAAATCAAAAGCGATATCCGGAATCTGATGATGAACAAAGAACAGGGACTTTCGCCGCATGCGTCGACCGTTTTAACTCATTCAAATTGTAGAGTGACACTTTATCACACTATTCGATTGTAACCCTGACACCTTTATGATCCTTCGTCATCGGCACAAACATGTCATGATCATATACCACATCCTCTTCCGTCGTATCAAACAATCGCATCTTCGGTATCACACGCAGCACCGTCGCAGCGAGACACAGATTGAGCTCGCACAAAGCCAAACTACAAGATCAATGTTAGCCATCCATCTCCAACTCAAAATAAACACAATCCACTTACTTCTTCCCCAAGCAAGAGCGACTCCCTTTCGACCAAGAAAGTATACTACGCTCCGGCTCTTTCCTCCTCTGATTACTCTCATCCAACCACCGCTCCGGCACAAAAGCATAAGAGTCAGGGAAAGCGCGTTCATCGTGATGTGTAACGTACGACGACATGCCGATCGCATAGCCCTTAGGAAGAACGTATTCAACAGGCTTCTTATTCCATTCGCCACGGTACAGCAGCGTTTCCTCCGTCGGGATACGGGCTGTACGGCTAGACACGCCGTAGGATAGTCTCAGTCCTTCTTGAATGACAGCGCCGAGATATGGTAGTGTTTCTAGGACGGTCCATCCAGGGAGGTTTAGCGGGTCTTCTACAACGGTTTGCAGTTCTTGGGTAAGCTTAGCCAGGATTTGGGGGTTGGTTAGGAGGTGGTATGTCATCACGGCCAGAGCCCAGCTTGTGGTCTCTGTGCCAGCACCCAATACAGCTTGTGCCTCGTGGACTAAGCGCACCACGCCCTTATCCCCGGCACCAAGATCGGACTGCAAAAGTGAAGCAAAGATCGTCGGTCGGTCGTACGTGATCCCCGCGTCAAGATCCGCCTTCGCCTTAAGCACTCTATTCGGCAAATCAACCTGCAAAGTCTTTACCATCAACGCGATGTCTTTGGGCAGATAATCGATAAAAGTCGTCGCAAGCGCCGCACTCTTACTCGTCCAAGGAAAAAATCGAAACACGAAAACAGGTCTAAGGACTGCGGCTGTGGGCTCTCGGAAATTCGGGTACCACCCTTCTTGGTCGAGAAACCCAAAGCTTTCGCCGAAACTGTAGCTGGAAATGGCGTCGGAAGTGAAGCAGCTGTATGCCATGGCGATGTCGAAGGGTTCGTTGTCACTGCCGGATTGCCGCAGTAGTTTGTCGCAGAGCTGTTGGACTAGGCTGTGGATTTCGGGTTCGAGTCGTGTGATCATGGCTCGGGAGAAGAATTTTGCTAGGGGGACGCGCCGGAGGCGGTGGAGGTCGTGGTCGATGGTGCCGAAGCCGGATAATGAGATACTGGGAATGGTTAGGGGGATTGCATGGCTGGCATGTATGTGTGGAATTAGTGACTTACGAAGATCCGTTGACTTGGTGCTTTGGCTTGTCACGTTTTCGGCTACCGGTTGCGTATATCTCATCTGCGAAGCGGATGTCGTCGCAGTGGACTTCGTTGGGATTAATTCGCACGATGGGTCCTGGTTGAGATGTCATTGATTAGCTTGCGGGCTGGTATAAGATAGCTAGTGATGAGCTCACCATAAACCCTATGCATTTTGCTGATCTCCTTCGTATAACAACCGAATTTGACAACATCGTGGTAGAATTCCGGCCAGTACGTCGCAGCCGCCAGTCTTGGTCCAGGGATTGAACTCAGCGGGTGGAGCGGCGAGATGTTGTAGATAGCTTCTAGCACTTTAAATACTAGCCAGAGGCCCGCGAGACCCAGGATATGGCGCGTTGATGGCAGCCACGTTGTTGATGGTGTCTCAATACTCGTTGAATCCATGCTGCGTAACAATGTGAGGAAAGAGACGATACTTTCGCATGGAAAGACATTGCTTTTACCCTAGTTCCAGGGTTCTCTTCTCTTACAAGGTAGAAAGCCGCTATTCCATGCAGCCGCTTCCTGCGGCACACGCTACATGTCTAAGTGGGGGGTAAGTGCCGGAGCGTGTCATAATGGGACATGTTTGGGGGCCATAACGGTCATTTGGTCCCGAACCAGAGTTTTGGATATGCGACACGTGAAAGGACGTGTTTGAGCGGGACGCCAGCACACAGCTGGTTGGGATGGACGTTGAAGATGAGGTTCTAGGCTTGCGAATGTGGGGTGCGGCTCGTCTCGAGTCATGGGAGCCAAAGATCTTGATCGGAAACTAGTCATCCGCGAGTGGGCGCGGTGGCGCGTAAGGACCGGTGTAGCTATTTTCATCTCAGGATGTGTTTGGGAAGAGTTTGTTGCACGGTGGAGGAATTGACTCGGTTGTAGAATTTGCCAATAGCAATTTGTTGTCATTCATCATGCTCATAACCAAGTATCTCATGCATCCCATGATATGCCAGACCTGCAGGCGGTGTTCGACTGTACAACTGTCCATTTCCCGGTCCATCAATCCTATGTCTTCACCCATCACGCGCTCCTAGGTAGTCTGACCATCTTTCCCCTCGCGGCCAGCGCCAGCCAACCAGCAATAAGGCAAGCGCCGCCAATTGGCGTGACAGGCCCTAGTTGCTTGTACTTCTTCGCATCCAGCACAAGCAGGTATATGCTTCCAGAGAACATGGTCATGCCGGCGGTGAAGAGGGCCATGGCGATTTTGTTTTGCGGCGCGACAACGGATGTCATGGTTAGGACGACGGAGTGAACGAGCTGTTATTTCTGTAGTCAGCATACATCCTTATCCGAATAGAGGCAGTGGTAGCAGAGAAGTCACACATACCTGATAATTCGCCGCAGTCCCCCAACTCGCCAACGCCCCCGGATCCCTAATCCGCGTCTTCAACCCATGCGCCCCAAACGCACCCAACGCCACACTGCTCGCCCCCAGCAGCGTGCCAATCGTCCAGAAAGGCGACATGCTGCTATACGTCGTGCCGTAAGATCTGCTGCTGCTGCTGCTATATCCAGATTCGTAGATGGGGTCGTGGCTGCGTGATTTGCGGGAGGATGAGGACGAGGATTTCTTGGATGAAGACATAATATGGTGAGTGGGTGGGTGGGGTGAAAGAGTGTGGGTGGTTGGATTGGGGGGTTGGGGAGGGAGGTGGGAAGGTGGGAAGGTAGTGGTGGGATGGGTTTGATGGGGGATGCGTGCCGCGGTTTGCTGCGGCGGGAGACGGAGGTGTGCGTTGTCTGATTGGTCTGTGCTCACGAGGGACGGGAAGTGGAGCGTTTTGATGAAGGTTGTTATATTTATGTGTGGTATCGTAGATGCTGGAGATTGCATCTTGCTTTGTTTTAAACGCCTTAACGCCGTTTTGATGCGAATGATATCCAAGGATGTTGCGCATCTCGCGAATTTTGCGACCAAATAGACCCGTGCAGTGCCCTTTACCCACGACCTAGTCCGAGTCGATCTCCATGACTTCTCCCTCCGCCTGCTTCTGTGGCAGTGCCTTCATCGCACTCGTAGTCGCTTTCCTCTTCCCTTTACCAGCCTTCTGTTGTGCGGCTTTGATCTCCTCTTCAGACACCAGCGCTCCGTCAATGCGCAAGAAACCCTTGCCCTTTCCTTTTCCATCCATTCTGCCCTCAACGTCTCGTATCCTCACTCGCAGCTCTCCCTCCACCTTTTCACCGTCGCCGTTCTCCCACCAGCCTCCCTCGTCCGACAATTTGCCATCGTATCCCTGCTTCGTTTGACCGGATTCTTCCGAATGCCACGACCAGTCTGAGGGTAGACATTCCTTGAGTATGCTTACGGGGAAGGTGTTGAGGTGTGTAAGTGTGAGATGCGTCTTCGCTTGGTCGGTGATGTGCGCGGTGAGGTATGCATTTCGGGCTGGGCGCCATACGATGAAAGAGGCGGTCACCCAAAGGAACGGCGCTGCGTATTCATCGACGTGCCTGAGTAGCAGTGGCTCAGCGGGCGCATTGTCGTTGGAACTGGATTCGCTTCGTTGTTGTGACTGTGATCTGTTCTTGGACTTCGGATCCGGTCCGGCGGGTGGTGTACTTTGCAGGTCTACATCTTCGTATGCGAGTACTACGCCTTTCGCAGGTGGGAAGTACGTGAGGAGTAGTGGTGATAGTACTGTTGCGCATACTGCTGAGAAGGGATCCGCGAGACACGAGGGTGGGATGCAGACGTATTGCGATATGCGCTCGATGTGAAACAAAGACGCGTCTTCACTTTGTACTGGGGCCATTTCCAAGAGAGACCAAGCCTGTTCCGTCGCGTAATGTGGTTTGCGATCGCGTTGTCGCGGAAATGTGAGCTGAGAAAAAGTTGGAGATGTCGGCATGCGCAGATACCGACATGTGGGGGTCAACGCTAGCGTGTATGCGGTTAGCCAATACCGCAAGTCAGGGTGAAAGATGAAGATGCATAAGGATTCAATTAGAATGACGCTCATAGCGGCGTCCTTATCTTCAATCATGTCATCCGATGCACAAGCAAGCCTAACGCCAAGCGGCATAACACCAGATACAAGCGCCGTCTATAGGACGTTTATGATGCTGCCAATGTTCAGCTCGCCCTCGAATTCTGTTTTACATTCGCTTTCACAGTGCACCCGGAGTCAATCATCTCCGTCCTCCCTTCTCCACTTCCTTTCGCTGGAGCTTGGTAACCACTCGCTGCAAGGCGGTCTTGATCTCACCCTTCTTAAACTGTGACAAATCGTAGTAGTTCGGTGAGATATCCTGGCAGAGGTTAGTAAAACGTTTATCAAAGCAAGAAAGGATGCACTCACCATAAGCCACTCCGGCTTCACAGATGTCACTGTTCGGATGTAGTTCTTGGTTGTCAAGACGAACTCGTTGTAGATGACCCATTCACTGTCCTCTGCAAGAACAGTGCTTGGGTGCAAGAGAACATTCTGCTCGTCCTTGACGGTGATGTAGCTCTTGCCGTTACCATCGCGCTTGGCAACTTGCATAAAGAAACCGGCAACAAGCGCACGCTGAATGTTCTCGTAGTACTTCTTGTTCTCAAACGGCGTTGACATAAGTTCAAGTTCCTCGCGCTCCATTATGCGCTTGAGTTGAAGACGGACGTTGTCAGCTTGCTGAAGCGCTCGGTAAGAGAGGAAATGGTCGTGGCACCACTGCTTCGGGTTTGCTTGCGCCTCCTCGCTCTTGAATGCATGGTAGACGTTGAGCATGGTAAGCTGGTCGCCCTTGGGGTGTGCGAACAGCTCCTTCATCTCGTCTGCGCGCTTTCGGTTGTTGGCTGGACGGACGAAGATTTGGGGTACAGAGAGGAGCGCAGTAAGCGATAGGATCTCGTTTGAGCAGTAGAACTCGGGCGATGTGATGAGCATGACTGCCAATGCGGGATCCAGAGGGAACTGCGAGGCGAGTCCTCCGAGTGTGGTCAGCTCACCCTCGTCATCAAGACATGCCAGGTAGTTGAGCTCCTCCAACGCACGCATCAGGGTCTCAGGCGCAGGCGGGTCCATCAGATCGAAGTGTACCAGATCGTCGACTCCAAGCTTCTTCAACTCAAGAACGGTGCTAGCCAAATTTGACCTGAGAATTTCAGGGTAGGTCTGCTCGATGAGCTCCTTCTTAAAGGCTTGCTCGGTGTACAGGCGGAAGCATTTACCGGGACGCGTACGTCCGGCACGACCAGCTCGCTGTTGTGCTGAGGCCTTGGAGATGGGCGAAACGAGGAGGGATTCGACACGGATACGGGGGTTGTAGACTTTTTGCTTGCTGAAACCGGGGTCCACGACGTAGACGATACCGTCAATAGTGAGAGATGTCTCAGCAATGTTGGTAGAAACGATGCACTTGCGTCCGGGGCGGCCGCCGTGTGTTGCGGGCGGAGGCGCAGGGTTGAAGATCTTCTGCTGCTGTGCAGGCGGCAAAGTTCCGTACAGCGGGTATACGACCAATGGTCCAGCACCACCTTCACGAGAAAGGTCCTGGGCCTCGAGGTTTATCTTCCTGCACGCATCCTCAATCTCCTCCTCACCAGTCAAGAACAGCAGAATATCGCCTTCGGGCTCGGTGGCGTGGATCTGGAGGACGGTGCGCAGGGCGGCTTCGACGTAGTCTCGCTCGGGGGCAGGCGTGTAGAAGACCTCGACGGGGTGGGTTCGTCCAGGTACGGCGAGCAGGGGCGCGTTGTGGAAGTACTTCTGGAACTTGGTCGCATCGAGCGTAGCACTCATGATGATGAGCTTGAGGTCCGGCCGCCTCAGGACGACCTCCTTCAGCAGACCCATGAGGATATCGGTAGCCAGGGTTCTCTCGTGAGCCTCGTCGAGGATGATGGTGCTGTAGCGCGTGAGGTTGTGGTCGTTCATGGCCTCGCGCAGCAACATTCCGTCCGTCATGTACTTGAGGATGGTGTTGGGCCCCGTCTTGTCCTCGAAACGGATGCTGTATCCGACCTCCTCGCCCAGCTCGACGTCCATTTCCTCGGCCACACGCTGGGCGACGGACATGGCAGCGACACGGCGCGGCTGGGTGCAGGCGACCATCTTGGCATTCTGCTGGGGCAGGTCGTCAAAAAGGACGAACTGCGGGATCTGCGTCGTCTTTCCGGAACCCGTCTCACCGACGAAGACGAGGATCTGCGACTCCTGGTACAGCTTGAGGAACTCGTCGCGCTGCTGGTGGACGGGCAGGTCTCGCCTCTTCTTGAGGATGCTCATGTACTTGCTCGAGAGCGGGCGGCCGGTGAAGGCGTTGTTGGGGCCGTCTTCGGCGGCGTTGGCCTGCGCCGTCGTCGTCGCATGCTTCTTGAAGCCCTGGAGGCCGGTGCCGCTGCCGCTGTACTCGCTCTTGACGGGCTTGTCGTCGTTCCAGTGCGCCAGGTAGGGATTCGCCGCCGCGTCCATCTTGCCCTCTCCGTTGGACTCGGTCTTGACGCGCTTGACGCGGGCACTGTCGTCGTCGCCGTATTCGCGCTTCGTCATGGCAGTCATTGTGGTGCTGGGGCGTTTGCGCGTGTCGGTGTCGCCTGCACTCGCCGTCCCAGAAAAAGTTATGCGACGGGCCCTTAGCTCCACTTACCGCGACTGCTCGCGCTTGGCGCAATCGACGACAGGCTGCAAGGCACCACAGCAATATCCACACGCCGCCATGTAGTAAATATACCTTCTCCACCCCTGGTGGCTCCTTCTCTCTAATTCACGCCCCTGCCGCTGTGATCCCGCTCCGCATCCCTGGTCGCGCGCCGCAGCATTGCATCCGCGACTTTGCTGACCCCGCGGTAGTCCGCAACATTCACCAACTTTTCTTCCACTAACACTTTTTCTCATCTTGGCCTGACTAACCCCGATACTGTTATGGACTACTCAGAAGGCATGGGCGAACATGCGCCCGTATTCTATATTGGCCAACATGAGTCGAAGCGTACCCTGGACGTCGCGCCCGAGTTGGTGCAGCATGCCCAAGATCTCGGAGTAAGTACCTCCAAGACTAGCAGGAACTCTACTGACGACCTCCAGTATGATATGCTCACTAGCACCATCACCAACGACCACTTCCAGAACCGCGTCTTGAGTCTGCTCAACTCCTACACCCAAGCCCTCGCTGAGTCGCAATCCCAACCGCTGCCCTTGATACCTGCCTTGGACAATTTCGATACACCACTTAGCCCGAATGAGATCATTAGTCAACTGGTAGCATTCACCAGCTCGTGGATCGATTTGTCTTCGCCAGACCCGATCATCTCCCATTTGTCGCGCCAAGTCTTTCACCTTGAGGTTGCCTATGCAGCTTTCTGTGGCGTTACGAATCTGGTCATCCCTGGACCAAGACTCGCTCACGGCCAGACCGGCGTATCTCAGTATGCTCGTTCTGTTAAGGAGGCGCTTGTCACTGGATCTTACATCCAGCTGCATGTCCAACTACCCATGGATGGAACGCAGTCAGACTCCAGCAAGGACGACATGGGAGACCTAGCGCGATTCGCAAGACCTGAGTTCGAGGCCAGTAGCCAGTCGAAGAACGTCGATTCTTGGAGCTCATGGGATGCGTGGAACACCATTCGATCGATTTGCAAGTACCATAACAGGTTAGCAGTCATGCTCGATATGCCGCGTCGCCTGCCATCCTTGGCTGTCCAGTCACGTTGGTTCTCTGAGCCTGTACGACTTCTCAACTTGCACGCTTCCTCTTTTCTAGTCAACGCTCGTCAATCTTACGTCCTGTCCAAAGCACACCAGGTTTTCATCTTCCGTTGCATGCGCCTGCAGCGCGGGCCTTGGCTACTCATCTCGGATGTTGGCCAACTACCAGGTATTGATGACCCGGATATGATAATGTCATACTCCACGGGTCATCTATCCCCTCGTACTGTAGAAGATGCACCGAGTCCAGGATCATCGGGAACAGTCGCACCAACCCCAGCTGAAGCAGCCGAGATCGCAAAGAAGTTGCCTAAGAAGAGCAGTAGCAACAACGACCCAACACCTCACTTGAGCTACATGCGATACTTGCAGCGCAATCAGCCTCCTAAGAGCCAGATTGAACGGTTCGGTGGTGGATTCCAGGACTATCTCCAGAGTCCACTGCAACCCCTGACGGACAACCTTGAATCTATTACATACGAGGTGTTCGAAAAGGATCCAATCAAGTACGCGTGGTACGAGCGCGCCATCGCTCAGGCGCTGAAAGACTGGCATGCCGAGAGCAAATCGACCAGTTCTAGCAACGGTGCTGTCGTTATTGCAGTCGTAGGATCCGGTCGAGGTCCGCTTGTGACGCGTGCGCTAAATGCCAGCGCAAGCTCCGGTGTACCCGTACAAGTCTACGCCATCGAGAAAAACCCCAACGCATACGTACTGCTTCAACGTCACAACATCGAAACCTGGGGCGGACGCGTCACAGTCGTTAAGACCGACATGCGCGCCTGGAAAGGTCCAACCCTCGCCGACGGCACATTCGGCAAAGTAGACATACTCGTCAGCGAGCTTCTTGGCTCTTTTGCCGACAACGAGCTATCGCCCGAGTGTCTCGATGGTGTGCAACACGTCCTGAACCCTACCCATGGCATATCGATACCTTCCAGCTACACCGCGCACTTCACCCCCATCTCCACGCCAAAGCTCTGGTCCGACCTGTATACTAGAAGTACCAGCGTCGATCCCAACGCTTTCGATATCCCGTGGGTCGTCATGCTAACGCAATTCGACTACCTCTCCACCTCGTCCGAAGAAACCGTCGCATCCAAACAACTCAGCAACGGCACTAGGATGCAGCATTTCAACCTCGAGGCCCCTCTCACACCCAAGGTTGAAACAGCCTGGGATTTTACTCATCCCCTTCCTCCCTCCGTTCTAGCACAGTCTTCGCTCAGGAAAGGCGGTTCGGCGATAGGTGGCGGTGGTGGCTTCAGCGGCGGCGACGGCGCAAATGAACATAACCTGCGCTACTGCCGTATCGCCTTCCCTATCCAGGAACCAGGTGTATGCCACGGTCTCGGCGCATACTTCGAAACCGTTCTGTACAGTGGATCAGAAGGACCGGTGGAGTTGAGCACGAATCCAGTCACTATGGAGGCGAAGAGCAAGGACATGATTTCTTGGTTTCCCATCTTGTTCCCACTCAAGGTATGTTATTCACTGATTATAGGAAATAAGGATGGTGGCTAATTTGATACGCAGACTCCCATGCAGTTACCCGCCAACTCAGAGGTCGAAGTCAGTTTCTGGAGGCAGACGGATGATCGCAAGGTTTGGTACGAGTGGCTGGTTGAGAGCTACCTCACGGTTGAGGGAAGGAGGATACGCTTGGATGTTTCGGATTTGCATTCTAGTAAGTCGAATGGGTGTATGATGTAGTCTGGTACCGTCTGGTGCGTGACTGTGTAGCTGGGATGAGAACATGAGGGTAGTGTGTTCAGTGTCCATTGGAACCTCTTCTACTGCGAGACAAAAGTTGGCGCTTCTCTTTCCCAGAATTGGAATCTGATGTATATGGAAGCGTACTTTGTTGCACTATAAAGGACCTTCGTGGACTATGTTGTAGTCATTATGATAGGTCAACGTGTGACGTAAGAGACAGAAGATGAGCAGCGTATGTTCATTGGTTATAGAAGCATTCATGCTATACCGTGAAGCTATTTGCTACATCATGCACTAGGTAACGACCTGCTCATCGCGAGCCAGGGATCCGAGCTCATCTTCTCCGAAAAGCGCACCTCGCAGTCCCCTACGAAGGCGGCGCATCCGTGTTCTGAGTCTTCTCCTTCCTCTGCACCCACCCAAACCTCGGGCTCCCATTGTTCATATCGAAAATCTAGAATACCACATTAGTCACAATCCCACAATCAAAACTCAGATGAAACCTGACAACTTACAGCATACATAGCCTTCAGCACAGCATCACCATAAATATCCATATCCATAGACCCCCTACTCTGGATACTTCCATACACCATACCGTTTCCAGCATCAGCGAAGCCCAAGTCCTCTTTCTGGAATGTCACCAGGGTATCTCCAATGGCGAGCTTGATATCAGGCAAGTCGTCCGCGGAGGTGGACGTGGGGAAGACATAACCCTGGTTGCTCTGGTCGTATTTGGCGCCTGGGATGGCTTTGTAGACGGCGTCGACGAGGGCGTCGGAGACGAGGCAGAGGGTGGTGCCGGTGTCCATGATGGAGGTGTTGTTGGAGCGGGAGACAGTTTGTCCGTTGATGGTGGCGGATGTGGATTTGATCTGCCAGAAACCTTGGCTGTTATCGACATCGGCATAGTTGGGCTCGGACGCACCGGAGGCGGTCATGACGTCTTGGTCGATGAAACCGAAGGTGTAGAAACTCTGGGGTTGTGTTAGAACTGAGTGAGAGCATAGGGTATGAGATACTTACTTCTCCTTTATCAGCCTCGTTCGTGTCGCGCCAGCTACCAAGGTACGCGGTGAAAAGCTGCTCCTTAGCGCTCTTCTGTGCGATGATATTGTCGACGGGCGTCTTCTGCGGGGTTGGGGAAACAGTGTTGATGGAACTGAAGGCCAGACCAAGGAGTCCACTTCCATTGCCTTCGGCAAATTGCTGGGAAAGCTCCTTTGCGAGCTCTACAGCTTGGTTTTCAACTTTGAGACCACCCAGGTTTACGACATCAGTACCGACGTCACCGCTTGCGGAAGAAGAGTCTCCGTACGAGATCTTCCATGTCTCGCCGTCGAGTTTCTTGAATGTGCTTGACTTTGAGGGGTCGAAAGCGACCTGCTGCTTCGACGCATCTGCTGAACTGAGGATGTTCTTGGGAAGTTCGGTGGACCAGACCTGTATATCTTAGTAATGTGATCAACTCGTCAACGAACACAACATACCCAAAGATCCGAAGATCCAGTATCGAAATCGAGGTAGATCTTCTGTTCGGGTGTTCCAACGCCGACTTCGCAGAGATACAAAGAGTCGTTCTGGATGTCTTCGGCCGGTACTTCACCTTCAGTTGGAGTGCCGTCGCTTGGGGCTGCGACTTTGCTTTGCGCACCACCTGGTGCCGATGCTTCGTTGCGCTTCTTGAGAACGTAGCGTGATCGCATGCGGCCGCCGATTCGGCCGAACTTGCCTTGCTGCGACATGACCTTGGCTTGGAAGTATGGGCCGGGTTTTGTAGGGTGGAAGCCATCTACGCGTGTCAGTTGAGTCGTGAAGGAGAAACATGTAGGGAATAGGTGACGGACACTTTGTCATGGCGTAGACGTAGCTCTTGACTCCAGCGGGCTTGTAGGCTGGGCTACGCTGGATCGCAAGGCGTTGTAGAGATGCCATGATGATGTTGGGTTATCGAATTTGATGATATTGTGGACGTTGGTGACGAGACTCTTGTTACAACACTGATGCAACAAGATAGATAAAGTTGAGAAAGAATTACTTCCCTCGAAGCAACGACGACTCGGCAGCATAAATACCTTCGTGCCTTCCAACCAACGCATGCATCACGCCCACCTCCAAAGAAGCAAACCTACCTGCCCAACTGCAAACGCTCCAATCACCAGCGCTCGACCAGGAACAGGCGGTCACACCGGCCGGATTGTCGCAGCCGCGATCATGGGCCTACAAGCATGCGACCAAGCTTTCCAAGCTTTTATCAAGCTTTCGTTAAGCTCCGCGTGCCGCATATGGTGCGTCTGAAACAACGCATACGCAGATCACACGCACGATGATGCGCGATGGGAGTACGGCTGTGGCGTTTGCGCTGATAAGGACCCGGATGGCATGACAGGTACAAAGGCAGCTGCGGCTGCGGCCGAGGTGTCGACGTAGTCGTCCATGCGAATGACATTGGATGAGTGATCTGTGAGTTTGTAAAGTGATCTGATTGCTCCGAGAGTAATGGGAAGCCTGCTTCAAGATGCGAGTCGAGGCCCTATCGGAAGCCCCGCAACATACAGCTCTTTGTCCCCGCGTTGTGGATCGCCCGCGATGCTGGAATGTGACCACGTACTCCTACATGCGCCGTGTGCGCTTTGTTACAGCGTAGGACAAGAGAGAGGTTCCTGGTTTGTGACATGTCTTGACTTTGGCTGGTCATCGTGAAGCTTTGTGCGTACCTTGGCGTGGTGGTGTTTCGGGAGACACGTAATGACGTCATTGGATACGCGTCATCGCTCGCACCTACCTGTTCCGGTGTTAGCAGGCATCTTCTTGTCGCCAGCCACCACGGCAATGCTCCTCCTCGCTGGGGGCTGGTATCTCTTCGATCATATACCTGATGCACGCATTGTTTGTACGGATCGGATCGCGAATCTGGTCATGCCATAATGTGAGTAACGCGACGCTTGATTTTGACGTTATTCTACAAACTTCCTGTGCTTGCAGAAGCACTACTTGGGTATATCCTGTAGCAATTTGAATGAGAGACGAACATCCTGCTCATTGGAGATGATGAGATATGTTCCAATTCATCAAAGTCATCCATACACTCGGCACGCTTTGCCCAAGGGAGTGACATAAGTACTAGAGGAGACAAGAGAAAAGAAAATAGAGTATTGAAAGCCTCAACACCTAACATCACGCGGTCCTGGGCTTGAAGATCAGGTCACATCGATCGTGCCTGCTCCTGTATCCATTCGCCTCAAAAGGCGCCATCGCCTCTGGCGTTGTCTCCGGCGCAAGTTCAACCTTGAACGCCCTGAATGTAGCCGCCAAGATGACTCGCATCTGGTACGTCGCCATGTTGCCTCCTGGACAGCGTCTCGCTCCTACACCAAAAGGAACAAGATGCTTCTTTCGCTCAGCACTGTATTCATCCTCGACGAGCCAGCGTCGCGGGTTGTAGGTATCGAAGTCGGGGAAGAGGTCGGGACGCTGGCGAGACATGCTGAGGGACTGTGTGGTGACGACCGTGCCGGCGGGGAGGTGGTAGCCGAGGACATTGATGCCACCCTCTGGTACGAGGCGGGAACCTGTTAGAGCGACTGGTGGGCGGAAACGCAGACCTTCGTTAACGCATGCACAAAGGAGCTTCAACGAGTCAAGCTCTTCGTAACCCTCGTGGGCGGCAACCTCCTCGTACAGTTCTTCTTGAAGACTTGGGTTCTTTGCTAGCTCGTAGTAGATGAATGCGAGGGCTGATGAGGTCGTCTCAGTAGCAGCGAGTACCTGGCCTGCCATTTCCGCGCCGATTTCCGGGTCCGTCCATGAATCTTCGAGGGGGTACTTTGCGTCTGGGTCAGTGAAGAGCTTGAAGACGTTGGCGGTTGAGTCCTCGGCCATTTCCTTGGCCTGCTTGCACAGCGCTGCGCCTAGGTCAAAGAGCTTGTCACTGGATCGTACGCGGAAGCGCGCATGGGCGAACGGGCTGTACTGGAGCCATGCGAATAGCCATTCTGGGAGACACAGACGCCAAACGACGAGAAAGTTGTACTCGCCGACAACGTGTGGGAATTCGCTGGACTCGAGGTCGACACCTGTACCGCCCATAACGACTTGCGAGTTCTTGAGGGTGCAGATGCGGAGGTGGTAGACAATGTCTTCCGACTTTTGACCCTCTGTCTTTCCGAGATCACGGACCATGGCTTCGATGTTGGTCACGAAGGTATCGTGCCAGAACTTCATGTTCTTTGTCGTAGTAGCAATCATGACGGGGTGACGTCTTTGCCGCGCGATGGGATGTTGAGGGTACGTGACAGTCCAGTCATGGCCGCCGACACGAAGGGCTCGAATAGATTTTGGCGAAGTGTCGAGATCTTTCCTGACGAAGATCTTCTCCACTGACTCGGAGTCGTTGAGAATGACGAGATTCGGTGCGATCCTGACGATGGGTCCGTACTTTGTCATGAGCTTGTCTGCCTCAAAGGACAGTCTGCCATGCCAACGTTGCCAGCGGATCCAGGCTGATGTTGCTGAACTGATCCAAGGTCCGGGTATGGCCCGCAGAGGGTCGATGTGGGCCCGGTAGATCATTTTGGTGATCTGGGTAACAGCCATGAGGACCACAATGGCCCCGACGAGCTTCCAGCGAAGCACGTAGGCATTTGACATTGCGCCTTGAACAAGGCTGGGCTTGTCAGTGACCAGCAGGTCGTGAATAGTTTCGTTCAACATGATGAAGAAGGCAAAGAATGGTCTTCAGACAATGAAGTACAGATGGATAAGCACGGGACGGCATTATATACTTTTCTCTGAGAATCGAACCTGTATCGCCGTTACTCACATTACCTTTTGCCTCGACTGGGAGCCATGTGCGATCGAAGTCAATCCTACCAGCCCGGTACCCGAAGGACCCTGATCCCCGCAGACCCTGGAGCCTCAAGGTTCGGACCTATCTCAAACCTTATACAAAAAAGGGTTTCGGTAGTTGATGTCACAAAGACGCGGAGAGTAACTGTGCACTAGAAGTCTACTGGCTGATGGAAGTATACTACCAGGTGACCGAAATCTTGAGGCAGCCCTGGTAACTTCTGCGTTTTGCGAACTGCGTACGATGACCTGATGGTTCCTCCGCAGCTCGCACAGCCCTATGGTGATGGACAGCAGTTGAGAAAAAGGAATGTTCGCAGCCGAGGCAAGTGGCAATGTCAATCATGTGGAGAGCACACAGAAGGCCCGACGTGTCGCGATGAAGTACCGAAGCACTGTTGTATGTTCGCCTTGGGTACCTAGTTAGGTGTTGATCGATCTCCCAAAGGCTTTTGCTATTGAACAAGCGCCCGTGTTCTGAAGCGTAGCCAACAACGTGAGAGTTAAAGCACCAATAAGGCTACTGGAAAGCTGGGCAGCAGAGCGCCGTTATACCCCAAGAGCGTAGGGTATGCCGTTGATGACCTCAGGTTGATTAATGCCCGATAACGCGGTGGAGAACGAGTTGCGAAGTCAGCGTAGTTAGAATTACTCATGTTCGCAAAGGGCGCATGTCGTGGTGATCGCTGACTCCGACGCGTAGACATCGTACTGACCTCGCCGAACCTCGAGGGTGTGTAGGACCTGGCGAAGTTGGAGGCGCCCATCCACGAGCACTCATTTCACATGAAAGATAGCATTTGTGCCCAATGTGGGCCCATAATTATTCGACCGAAGTGGCGCACAATACGAAGCTCATGCTGCTGCTTCAAGAAGCGAGTGCTTCAGCGTTGACGGTATCGAAGGGCGTCGTTAATGACATCGTGGGGTTATTAAAGTTGTGGTCATGTAAACTATACGGTGCAGGGTTGGTCAATTTCCCAAGAGAGTTCTATTTCTGTTAGAGAAGTCTAAAATTGTGCACATGGGGACTGTTGGTGAAAGCCAATATTGAAGCGACGAACGCACAATCAGGTTTGTTTGCCTTGGGCAACAATTTTGCGTTGCGCTACCACATGACGTCTAGGAGCAAATAGGGACGTTGGAGTAAGACGGTTTCATCAGTACTGTTGTACGTCGTGCAGGCGAACGTTCTGTGCTGTAGGGATCACGCTGCCCGTTCGGCGCGTCCACGGGCGCTTACCAGGGCGTATATCCGCGATGCGCATGAACAGGAGATCGGCAGGAGGCTTCGATGACTTGGAGACAACTGTATGTGTGGAATCTGGAGACGAGCTTTGACATGGCGCTCACGGTCGTTGTTGAGCTGACTAGGAAGGTCGGAAGGCTGGGCACGCGAGAGCGAGAGAACAGGGCACGCTTTACCGTTTCGGGCGTTCCGACACGCGTTCCGCAAGCTTATGATAAGCATAGACCATTTGACGTCACTGACCCCGGTCCTCGAATCTCTCCTTCCCATCTTCGCTACCAGACCTCGCTTCATTTTCCCATCGAACGCATCTTCCCGTCTGCCTTTCGGTCCGTCCCAGATTATTCATCCCGTTTCTTGAGTTGCTCCGAGTCGTTGTCAGCAAGGTGGACCTCATGTCCGCGCAACACCCCATCAGATCGCGGCTTCGGCAAATAGTTCGCAACCACTGGCATCAATGCAGCGATCAACACGCCAAGCCATAGAACGGCAGTCGATACGGCAAATCCCTTCAAGTTGCGTGGTCCCTCAGCGCTGGGCCACAGAAAGCTGCCATATATGAAACTCGTGTGACCAAAGGAGTTGACCAGCGCGATGGCTATCGATCGCTTGCGTGCTGGTTGGGACATGACCTCGCTTGTCCAGTTGAGAATCAGAGGAACCGTTGTGTACATCGCACCAGTCTGCAGGCATAGCATGGCATATTTGACTGCGCTATTGCTGACAAGAAGAGCTACTAAAGTAGCAACTCCGGCGAAAGCGAGAAGACCAGCGTTGTGCCATCTTCGGTCTTCGGTCTTGTCAGAAGTCCAGGACCTAACAATCGGTGTACGATTAGTGGATGTCTCTTGCCGTGCCTTTACAAGGGTTTACTTACCAGAACAGCTGAAACACGGCACCACAACTCCAGATGGGTACCGTCATCCATTGGGCACTGGTGCTCGTATATCCCATTCCTCGAAGCATGGTCGGAATGAAATATGAAACGGTCAAGGCCAGGCAGTTCGAGGTGTAGATGACCATAAAGAGATATGTCCGTCCATCTCTGATCACTGCAAGGAATGCTTGGAATGGGGTGAGAGCTGCCTCATCGATGTGCCAGGACTGATCTCGATCGCGAAGGATACGGACGTGAGCAAGAAGGCGTTGCTCCGGAGAAAGCATCTTGGATTCAATTGGCCAATTGGGAAGGATGAAATACACTGGCAAGTGGGACGGGACATATTAGCAGTGTTCGCACCTTCGGCATATGTAGATTACTTACGCCCAAAGCCACAAGCAATGGTAATGATGCTCTCGATTATGAGCAGCCATCGCCAGCCCGGAATACCACGAGCACCGTCCAGGCTGGAAATTATGGCACCTGCCATGATACCACCCAGCGCTGGAGATACGCAGCCGGAGGTGTAGAAGATGCAAAAGCGCTTGCCTGGAGGATTACGTTAGCCACATGTCAGATTCCGAAGAGGCTGGCTAGGTACTCACCAACTTCTTTCTTCGTGTACCAGCAGGTCAGGATGAATAACGCGCCTGGATACAGTCCGGCCTCGATTGCGCCCAGAAAGAAACGTCCAATGAGGAGTCCTGTTGCGCTCTTTGTCTGCGACATTCCGAGGACTACGCATCCCCAGACCCACACAATCGTGGCTAAACCGACATTTATGAGTATTGACTCAGCATCGTTCGGCTGACTGGGTACGCTTACACAAATAGATCGACGGTTTTACCTTCATGAGGATCATGTTCGAAGGAACCTCGAAGATAACGTAGGCCACAAAGAAGAGAGATACGAGCATTGCGTATTCTACACACCGTCAGCTACCTCACCTCGGACACTATTGTGTGGTCTGTATTGGCAAACGTACGATTATCCGACAGGCCAAGTTCCTCACTCATGCCCGCCGCGTTGGCGTTGGCAATGTTGCTCCTGTCGAGATGGGCAAGTATGTACATCCACCAAAGGATTGGTAGCAAGATGAAGTCAATCTTTCGGACCAAGCGTTTTTCTTCCACAGTATCTGGCACATAGCCTTGCAGTGCTGCTATGATTGCCGCATCTTCGGCCTCTCCATATTGTATTTTCGGGGTTTTCTCATCGCTTGGATCAGAGGCAACTCGTTGTGCCAGATCCGGTGCTTCACCATCTTTGGAAGTCATGATCTTCGATCGTTGAGGCTTGCAGGGGGGACAGGGCGCCCGAGGAACAACACGAGAATAGTGAAGCCAGGCAACTGACAGAAACAGCAGATTCACAGCATATACATTAGTGCTACGTCGAACGGCTGCAACCTTCCCGCCATCTATCTGTATGGCACCCGTTGACAGCTCGATGTTATCGCAATCCTACTCACGACGTAATCAGACCGCCACTGTTGCGAAACCATGACCCCGCTTCCTATCTATCTCTATCAGCTTAGTAAAACCCAACAGGATTGTGAGTGGGCGTGTCCCAAAGCAATGCTGGCATCATGATCATGCGGAGTTCGCCAAGACAAGGCCCCTACCTGGCCAAGATGCAAGTGGAGCAGCGCTTATCATACCCGACAATTCGCTCGACTCTGTCCCCGAAATTACCATGACATACTGTACTTCTTCATAGCCATCCGAAGAATGCGAACTTGACCAACAAGCACGGTCTGCTGTCACCCTCTACCACCACCTACTCCAAGGCCTCATAAACCGCGACGGAAAGCCGATTCCTCGAGACACAATACTTCCGTCATGTCTAAATCCAGCAAACATGTAGTGTTCGATATTGTCGGCACCTGCGTCTCCTATGATGCCATATTCGATGCTCTGGAGCACTGCTTAGGCGACAAGATGCGTGCTGAAGGCATCAAGCCACGACTATTTGGCTACCTCTGGATTGAAGTCACCGAAAGAGAGTACACTTATCTCAGCATGAATGGTCGCTACATGGCTTTCCGCGACGTCTTCAGCAGCCTCTTTTACCGAATGCTATACATGTCCGGCATCGAGGAACCCCAAACTTTCGCTAGCGACAAGGATTTGCAATACATCCTAGAGCAGTACAAGAAGCTTGAAGCGCGGCCTGGTGTCGCGGAGTGTTTCCAATTGCTCCGGGATGCTGGCTTCACGGTGTGGGCGTTGACGGCTGGGGATGTTGAGCGTGTTGGAGGCTACTTCACGCACAATGGTATCCATATGCCCAAGGAGAACTTCATCTCATGCGACACGGCCAAGATTGGTAAACCGGATCCAAAAGTGTACCAAATGATGATGGAGAAGCTGGGCAGTGATGAGAAATGGTTTGCAGCTGCGCATAACTGGGATGTTGCGGCTGCTAAGATTCACGGGTGAGTTGGCACTACCCGTCTACCTGCGCAGCTCCATTAACCATTCAACAGATTCAAGGCTGCGTATTGCACGATATGGGAGAAGATTCGTTGCGACAATCTCTTCGGCGAGATGGATGTGACTGCGGACTCCTTTCCCGAGATGGCTCGTGGTATCATAGCTGCATCTGATGCCGACTCAAATTAAGCCGTTTGCGTTTCGAAACATAGCGATGTCAGAACATCTCGCGCGATCTGGTCAGCTGCAGAAACTCAGAGTGCTGAACAGTCATGCCAAGTCAACGTCGTGCAGAAGGATTGCTCAGAACGCCGCTAAACATCTTCGTGTACTTGATGGGATGATATATGCATGACCTCCTCAGTCAAGCGAGTAATCACCCTTGCCGATCTACGTTTCGGCAAATGTTCTCCGTCCTCGTTATCGAGTGCATCCCCCACTCTATCATCGATAAGAATGAATCATGGAGCAGAACTCGCTAAGCACCCTGGAGAACTCCAGCCGTTGAGATGTTCAGGAAGTGGGGGAACCACCAGCGCGCTTTGCGCCGCGGCCATCTCCGTGCCTCATCATGTGCATACCCGTGTACCGTTGTCGGAAACGCTCTGTTATCTTCTTGTAACCATGTCAGACCGTCGTTTGGGCAAAATATTTGTGGCCTTGGTTTTGATAGGCAGTCTTCTGCGATCCGGTACAAGTACGTTTATGCAGCACACATCGATATCGCAACATGAAGAGCGACCGCACACCGGTAGCAGATCCCGTACACTCATTCTGGACTTCTGTATCCAATCCTCTTGATGACCTACTGAGTACGGATGACCTTTCCACTGAGGCAGACATTGTAATCATCGGTGCGGGATTTGCCGGGGTTGTACGTCTACATCACGAGTTGATTTCCGAACGCATATGTGCTGATTGCAATCTACTAGGCGACAGCTTATAATATTCTCACATCATCCTCGTCGTCCCCGAAGCAATCTGTCCTCATTCTAGATGCTCGCAAGATTTGTTTTGGTGCCACTGGTCGCAATGGCGGGCACGTAAAGCCAGACCTTTACTTCAACGTCTCGAAATATGTATCCATGGATGGTGCGAGCGCTGCAGCGGAAGTTACAAATTTTGAAGCGGCGAATGTGTACGCAGTCAAAGAGCTTGTTGAGGCTGAGAAGTTGGACTGTGACTTACATCTTACGAGAGCGATCGATGTGTATCTGGATGCCGATCATGCCAGGCAGACGGAGGCGGCGTGGGAGATGCTAAGGAGGGATAATATTGTCGAACTAAGAGACGTAGCTTGTGTCTCTAAAGAAGATGCAGAGAGGGTGAGCACGCTTGTCTTTCATAAAGACGTATGAATCGTAAGGCTAATTGTTCTTCCGAAGGTATCGGGAGTCAAGGGCGCTCAGCTGGCTGTCAGCTTTACTGCAGCGCACTTGTGGCCACGAAAGATGGTGCATCAATTGCTAGCGAAGCTACTCGAGCAAGACCATAAGCTCAATGTTCAAGCAAATACACCAGTGACGTCTGTATCCGACACGACGGACGAGGCAGGAAGATGGATAATAGAAACATCGCGCGGCACTATCAAAGCCACAAAGGTCATCCACGCCACCAACGGCTACGCGAGCCAAGTTCTGCCCGAATACACGCGAAGCATAACTCCGATCCGCGGCGTCTGCAGCCATATCGACAGCGCATTGAAGCAACACGCACCACATCTCAACAACACTTACGCCCTTCGTTTCGACGGCCGAAATTACGACTATCTCATTCCCCGAGCAGACGGAAGCATCATCGTTGGAGGCGCAAGGCAGCGGTTCTGGCACAAGCCTGAGCGCTGGTTCGACACCGTGCGCGATGACGAGCTTGTTGATGAAGCAACGACCTACTTCGACGGGTACATGCAGCGCCACTTCCGCGGATGGGAGGATACGCAAGCGCAGACAAAGAAGGTGTGGACTGGAAGCAAGTATCGTAGTCTCCTGCCCATGCGCAACTAACGCATTGAACAGTCATGGGCTATAGTGCAGACTTCATGCCGCACATTAGTCCAGTTCCAAATAAACCAGGACAATTCATCATCGCGGGGTTCAATGGTCACGGAATGCCGCAGATACTGTTGTCGAGTAAGGGTCTGGCTGCTATGGTGCGAGATGGAGTACCTTTCGAGAAGACCGGGCTACCGCGGTTATTCAAGACGGCAAAAGGAAGGGTTGAGATGCGCGATAGCCCACTCGAAGATTCGTTCCGTCCGCTGTGGGAAGAGCATGCCAGGTCGAAGCTATGACGATTGCGTCTCCATGATCGAGACAGTCAACCCAACTTGGCTCAGGGTCTTGCGGCATCTTCTTGTGAGGAATATTAAGTCAGACTCGGAACGATTAAAGTCGAGATGCGTTGTTGCTACGTACGTTTATGGTACGGTGGTGAGCGATGACACTTGGGGATCGGGGCCAGGGCGACAAAGGGGATGACAACAGACGCTAACCCGATTGGGATACCTCGGCATTAGCCACTGCAGAGTGGGGTCGTGCTCAACAGCCACAACTCCTCATGCCCTTTTCCCTCCTAGACGCCTTTAATGATCTCTCTTATCAACATACACGCCGACTGGGTGATGACCTCGCTAATGATGAAGATGCCAACACATCCCTGCCAACATCTGGACCCGAGGGATGCAACGCCCATGTGCCTACTGGACAGCGCTGATTCGCATGGTACAACATGCTGCAGTCAGCATTCACTGTTGCATGTTGCAGACAGCCATGGTCGATAGCGTAATAGCGCGCTATGCTCGTTCTGAACAAACGTTTTGAGTATACAAATACGCGTAGGTCGCCGGCTCATTGTACATAATTGAGTGCGCAACCCTCGCTTTTAGCCTTCCATCCATCCTGTCTTCGGTATCTGCAACATGGCTTCCTTCGAACCGGAGTTTGATCAAGCCTACAATGGTGCGTACTGAACCTTCATATCCATCGTCGATGTGCGTAACTTGCTAACGCGCATCTCAGACCTTGCGTCATCGCTCGATGGCTCCACGGTGCTTAAACAGCATCCAGAGTACAGAGATGCTCTTAAAGTCTTTGCTGTTCCCGAACGCGTCATTCAATTTCGTGTGATCTGGGAGGATGACAGGAACTGCGTGCAAGTCAACCGCGGCTATCGTGTACAATTCAACTCAGCACTGGGGCCGTACAAAGGCGGACTGAGGTTTCATCCGTCCGTCAACCTCTCGGTGCTGAAGTTTCTCTCGCTCGAGCAAACCCTAAAAAATGCTTTGACAGGCTGTAAGTCTTACATCTCCAGTCAGTCAATGTCCAGATCTTTCTGACCATCGCAATAGTGAATCTTGGTGGTGCAAAGGGAGGGTCAGACTTTGACCCCAAAGGCAAATCTGATCACGAGATTCGTCGCTTTTGCGTGTCTTTCATGCGCGAACTGAGCAAGTACATTGGAGCTGATACGGACGTGCCTGCTGGTGATGTTGGCTGTACACGGCGCGAAGTGGGATGGATGTTTGGCGCATTCAAGGCGGCGACTACGAGGTGGGAAGGTTGCATCACAAACAAAGGAGATGCGTTTGGTGGAAGTCTGATGAAGCTTGAGGCAACTGGCTTTGGGCTGGTTCATGTACGTCAAGCACCGAAAAGGCCTGATTTACTCGCTAACAGTACAATCACAGTACGTCTCTTTGATGATCGAATACGCTTCCGATGGCGCTGAGTCTACGCGTGGCAAGAAGGTCGCGATTTCAGGCTCTGGAAATGTCGCACAGTATGCCGCTATCAAAGCCATTGATGCGGGTGCTGTCGTCCTTACTCTGTCCGACAGTAAGGGGACGCTCAAAGCTATCTCTGTGGAAGGCTTCACAAAAGACGACATCGCCCTCATCGCCTCTATCAAGAAGAAACGCCTTCCACTTTCTGACATCATGGCAATGGAGCAGGGTCAAAGGTTCGAGCATCTCGAAGGCGAAAGACCCTGGAAGCATGTGAAGGAAGTCGATATTGCGTTACCCTCCGCCACGCAGAACGAAATGTCCAAAGACGAAGCAGAAGCACTGATATCTGCTGGCTGTCGCTTCATCGCCGAAGGCAGCAACATGGGCTGCGCACAAGACGCTATCCAACTCTTCGAATCGCGCAGGGCAGATAATCCGAACGGACGTGTGTGGTTTGCTCCAGGTACTTTGGCAACACCACTCTAAGTCTCATCAACTCGCTGATCCAATCCATAGGTAAGGGTGCCAACATTGGCGGCTCGGCAGTGTCAGGGCTCGAAATGGTGCAAAACAGCCAGCGCATCGCTTGGCCGGCCGCACAGGTCGAGGCTGAACTGTATCGCATTGTCGAATCATGCTTTCACAGCGGTATTGAAGCCGCCAAAAACTACACGGATATGCGCGCGGAAGACTTACCCAGCCTTTTTGTGGGAAGCAATATTGCCGGGTTTGTCAAGCTGGCGGATGCGATGCATGCCCAAGGAGATTGGTGGTGAGTCAAAGTACAAGGCATTCAAACATGGGTGACTACAACAGTATTACGATATCATATCATTCATTACTAGAACTATGGGTGAAAGGCGCTTGCAATGATTGACAAATCGCGATACTAAGAAACCCAAATCATCACCAGCTCGTAACGCAACGCTCCCTGTCGAACCCACCACGCAACTGCCGATCAGGCTTGACAACTTTTCCTTGCAGAATGGTGTACCGAACGATGTTCTCGCAATCTTCAGGCCGAACTCTCGCCAACCATATACACTGCTTTGCTTCTCTCAGTGGAAGTGATGCAGCGCCATCCGTACTCTCCTTTGCTCCATGAAATGGCAACGGTGTCCGACGATACACAATGACATTTGCGGCAAACTTGTGCCCACCAAAATGACTGACGAAGTGAACACCCACACCCCCGGGTCTCTCGTCAAGCGAGTCGCGATACAAATCTCGTTGCCGGAGATGGCGTTCGAATTCTTTCTTCAGGAGTGGTGCAGATTGACCGCACCGGGCATCGCGGGTCCGGTGACTGCACAGTAAGATGAGGTAGTCGTGTGGGCATGAGCGTATCTTCAGTCCGGATTCTGACGGCACGCTAAGCGAGTTGAGCGGAAGCAATGACGAGGTATTGCATGGGCTGCGGTTGACGAGGTGTGATATGAGATCTGGTGTCCGGGATGGTGTGACGCAATCAACGATGACGAAAGCTGGGAGAAGGAGGACAGAAGAGATTGGTTCGTCGTCGGGATTCTTGTTGACGCTGTAGTCCGGTACGGGGATGTTGGATGCGGAAAGCATGAACTTCTAGAGGCTCTTGTTAGGCATCATCGCTTTTGATGTGGAGGGGTTTATTTTACCTTCTCGACCATATGTCCATGTGTCTTGGCTATGGCTTCTCCGATGCTGCCTTCCTCACTCATGAAATTGCTGATCCAATTGGCTTTGCCAGTCGCAACGAGGAGATGTCTCTCCCAAGGCATGACAGTACCGTACAAATTCTCGGTCTCATTGATCTTGAACTTCTCCGGGTATGTGATGTCACATGATGAACAGTCCTGAATGCACTCCGGCCCGTCTTTTGCCGGGGTGGTCGGCTCGAACAGTGGTGGTGGGCCACTGGCCACTTTCGGCAAAAGACTTGTCAAAAGACTCTCAATCGGTGCGACCTTTTGCGTGACTGGGGTGATGAGGAGGGGAAGTAAAGACGGCATCGTGGATGATACTTAAGACTCTTTGAAGATACTCAAGCCGTAGGAAGAGATTGATAAGATGCTGTTTCGCTTTCTTATACGTCGTCCAGGAGTGTCATTGAGGGTGACAATCTCATAGCACGGATGCTCTGGTCAATGACATCATAAAAATGCTATTGAGTGAACATTGGCACACACATTAGCATGCAAAGTTCGTTCATCAAGATCGCCGTTACGAAAACCTCGATCCTACTGAAGATGAGCGATGTCCAGGATGTTGCACGTCAAGAATCCCCTCGACGTGACATCATACCAACTACTCAGCGCACTGATATGATGCTTTACCTTCACGGAGATCGCAGGCATCGGCTGCGATCGATGCTAGAGCTGACACTACAAGCTGTGGTGATACGAACCTCCATGCCGCGGTGTACGCATACAAATGCACAAGACCAATAACGGACCGCCTAAACGCACGCTCGGCTGACGGAATTGCAGCCGAAACCGTCGAAGTCTCCATTACGAGATACTCGGCCGTTCATGATGAGCCAAGCTATGCAGGTCGTGATACATGGGTACGTGTAGGGGTCACACCAAGCGATCAGCATGGGTCTGATACATTGAGTGAAAGTTGGAAGCTTACATGTCCTGCAGTCGATCGAACCAGAATCCTCGATGAGCTGCAGGCTAATTGCGAAGTTCGTCATGCGGGGAAACAGATTGTCTTACAGATAGGCGTCAGGGGCGTCAAAAAGACATGGCAGGACATACAGGTTTAGCATGCAATCACCGGTTTCTGTCCGTACCCGGGCGTTCATCCCCACATTCTTCGACCCAAGTTTGAGGCCAGTAGCGTCATAAACTAAAAGTGGTTCTCGTTTTGGAGTATACACAATGGAAACAGTCGGGGTTTACTCGCTGCCCAAGCTGATGTAGCTTTCAAGGTCCAATTTCACCCCACAACTAGTTCTAGATGTATCCCGACATACGTGTTTATTGATGATACGGATTTAATGGCAGAGGGCTTGATAGTGCATGATGTGGTGTGATAAGACAACTTCTTTGACGTAAACACATGTTTATTGGTATGCTACCTTTGCCGTCTACATGCAAAGAAAAGCCAAGGAAAACATGACTTCCTGGTGGGCCGAAGCAATCTTAGCGAGTGAGAGTAAACAAAGAAAGACAAGGAAACGACCCGCTCAGCCACTGAACACTTCTCCGCCTAATGCGCCTTATGATCCGTTGGAATGACACCCGCTCTTGCGTACACTTCATCGTACTTACCCCTGACGAAGTCCTCAATCCT